CGTCATAGACGCAAATGATGCAGACATCTTCTGCTGCAGGTGCTCTAGCAGCGCGTTTGAAAACGCCTTTGGACGCGCATCGATTGCCTCGGGGCCTTGCGTAGCAAAGTGTTGCACGCCCTAGGGCCAAGCAAGGACATCAGCTTGTTTAGCCCGTCCTGCATGTCCTGGGAAAAGAGGAAAATAATTCCATCACCACAGAGGATTAGTCTTATTGACTCAGGTGTAAATTGACTACAAATGCTACCAAGTGCAACGGGGCTGCCGTAGCTTTGCGCTTAGAGAAGCGTAAGTTAGGTCACCGACCGTTCGTTCTGTATTCAGAACAAGTACGAGTTTAGCGGATCGCAATCCGCTTACTCAAAGAGTAATTATTGCCTCAACCCAAGGCTAACTGACTCTTCCGTTTAAATCCAAAGCTGACCTTATTTATTGTTATCTGCGGCAAAGCCGCCTAATTTTAAATGTATATATTTTTCACCAAATATATAAAGTAAATTGTAAATACATGCATAACTACTGGCTACCCAGTCACATACCGTATTCTTATTTGGGTGCAGTCATACCATGCCCATCTCGTGTGACACACACCCCTGTTACCAGGGTACGTGTAACCCAGGCAATTGCTCGACAATCATATTATTTTAAGTATTTATAGATGTCGGAATATCGGTATCTATGAAGCTTACAGAACAAAGGGGTCCGCGGTATTTTCGAGTTGCAAGCCGCACGTCAGAAAAGAAAGACAATCTTCGTACAGAAAATTGTATTTGTGCCTGTCCAATACTAATTACTTATATATATTTGCTTGAAATTAACAGGTTTGAGTACATAAGAGGCCCTCGTTTATCGCATGATAGAAATGAGCGTGTCGACCACCGTGCGTTGGTTAACGCGGACTTAAACTAGCTTTCTGTGTGCGATGTGCTTGGCTACCCCGTATCAATTTTCTAATATAAAATGAGCTGTTTAATTTGTAGAATAATGACACCAGTAACTTCCAGATATGCTTAAAATTATCCAGCAATTCATCAAACAATATAACAACTTACTTTTAATAATGATGAGTCATCTATTCTCTTTGTATTTGATCTCTTAAAGAAGCTGCCAAAAATATATTGCAATATTAATAATTACAGCATGCTTTAAAAATAACCTAATGTCTTTCATCAGTAATAAAGATATATAATTGTCAAATTAAATAAAAATAACAAAATTACTTCTAAGGTTTGTGCGGTAAAACCTTTCGATCAGCATACTTTTGGTAGCGTAGTGAGTATACAAATGAGCAACTTTATAAAAAATGCTCATATCAATGCTCAGAGAAGACCGGTCCGCGTGACCGGTTCAGCTTTGACTCCACCCATTCATTTCTACGAGTTATCGTAACTACTTCCATTTAAAATTCTGACGTTTGCTCTACGTAGTGTAACTCCTCACTTAACTGGAATGTAATGATTCGAAAATCATGAATGTCGCCGCCCCAGGCTGAACATCACGTGTCGAGTACTTCAGCGCACATTGAATAACAGCTTTGTGCATGAACATTCCCAACTTATATGTCAATGAGTGTGATGATGACAAGCAATTAACCCAGCTCGCTTCGACTCATTCTGGATGAAGAGAAAAGCTTCCGAGGGGTCACTCCCTCTTGACTGATCACTCGACGTAAGTATATTACTTTCTATAGCTAGCTGACGTAACTATCGATTGCGAGTGTGTATCATGATGTATATAACTTATCCCTGTCCGACGGTTGGAACGCATTCCTCCGAACGTGACGATTACCAAGCGTAACTTTTATTAATTTATCCTGAATACCATCGCATTCGCAACTTATTGTTAACTTACATCGGGATAGGAATGAGGAACACTACAGGTGAGGGTGCAGTCTCCGTTTTGGAATACTGCGCCCAGAATCAAAGGAGCCAGTAGACTTCATAGTTATCTGACCTTTCCTCGAATTGCTTAATAAATAATCGAAAATATACTAATTTGACCATCATTGATTCGTCATAATTAATTTTAACGTTCGTTTATTGGTTAAAATACTCCACGTGCTAATTCAGCTTTAATGTCAGCGCGTGTAGGTACAAGTCGTGGTGCCAAGAAGTGGCTGGCTTCTCTATTTGGAGACGTCGAACAAGTTTCATCATCTAAATCCGTAGTAAAGGAGAGATTACAAATTATACTAGCGCATCAACGTGGCTCACAAATTCTTGCTGGCGTGGATTTAGCGGCTTTACAGAAGGAACTGCTTGAGTGTGTGCAGCGTCACATTAAGGTGTCAAATGGAGCAAATATCAACATTGCAGTGAAAAACGAAGGACAATTTGATATATTTGAGATGCAAGTGCCTGTAGATGGAGACAAGATGGTTGATGGAAGGAAAACAAGAAGCAATGAGTAAGAGCAGCAGACTATGATACTTGATAGTTTCTATTAGGTAAAAGCGAACAGTGTAGAAGCGCTATCGTTTTGCGTTGGGTTAATACGGATAATAATCGTCAAATGGCAGCACTTCTAAGTGACTGACACTATCAAAAATCCAAGTGATACGAACAATTGGAATGTGAAATTGATACCATTTGGCTTTTGCTTCTGAAGGTAATGTAGTCTTTGAAACAACTCCCACAGGTGTTCGACGTGATTGTTCATTCAATTGAAACGTCCCAGATGATCCAGCGCGCACGACTGTACCACCAAAATTATTAACAAGCGTTTTCACTGATGCAAATTGAAATTCAAATTCGTCTTCGGACACGAGCAAAACAAAGCAAAAGAGACTGAAGATACTGTTGCGTCGACCAGTTTGAATGCGTCGAATATGCCCTTCATGAGGTTTACCTACTGCATCACTGTAAATATCACCAACCATTTCAAACGGATCTTCCGTAAGCCATCGACCAGCAGCGAGACTGGCAGTAATCCACGAAAAATCCATTACAAACGTTCCTTCAGCTAATGCACGCATGTATTTGGCAGTACGTTTGCATCGCAGTGCACGTGGCTTCTCTTCACTCAGGACTCCAATGGGTGGCACAGCTTTGGTAATTAAATGCGTCACAGACGTACAATAACGATTTGTCGTTGGATCGCGTTTCAAATCAAAATCATGACCAAATTTACCACCAAGGCGTTGAGTTGCTTCCAAAACGTGCTTTACCTCTTCGCGGGTGAGATCCGAGCTCACAAAGACAAAATGTGAAGTGCTTTCGCGAGTATCGATTGATACTTTAGGATGATTTGAAGTGTGCACAGGAGGCTTGCTTGCTTGTGTAGGATATGTTTTCCTTGGTGATTTCGATGCCTTATCATTCGCTGCGTTAGAATGTGGTGTTGATAATGTCAAGTTCTTTGCTGCCTGAGACGTTAAGCTGTCACTTTGAGTCCGTTCTGCTGACGTAAAAGAAGTACTGACACACCGAAAATTCTCACTGATCTTAACATCTTTTCGGGGTATTGACTTCTTTTGGCTTTGACGAAATTGGTCATGCGATAAGCGATTTTTCAGCGTAGATTGTAATGGCTTTGCTGGCTTCATTTCGTACTCTTCTTCAGCATCTGCGTCTCCAGACTCGGTATCGTCATCTGCATTCTTGACCTCTTCGTTTGGAAACGCCATAGCTGACAGACTATCCGATACCTCTTTGCGATCGATGTTACTTGTATCGCTGACTAAGTCACTTTTGCAATCAATCGCTTGGTATTTTGAACCCTGAAGTGTGGGCATTCTAAGTCTCTTTCTTGACGGCGATGCCAAGAAAAGTCGTCGCTTTGCTATCAGTCTATCATCATCATTTCGATGTCTACTTTGTCGGAACGTGGCAAGAAGATCTGGAGACTCAAGTACGCTAGTTGCTGGTGGCAGTTGCGTCAGTTGAGTCATTTGTGTCAGCAAGTCTCCATCCTCTTCATGTTGCTGGGATTCTCGTCTTTCCTGGAGCAATGCTTCAAAAGTATTGCTGCTGTGCAAAGAGCGTTCGAGATCCAAGAACAACGACGTTTTGTTTGTTTGATTCTGATGCTCTCGTTCCCATTGACTCAATGCCTCTCGTTGCTTTTTAATTCGCTCCAGATAATTCTCCACATCTTGTGTCGCCATCAAACTATTTGACAATGTCACTTCCGATTCCTCCTTCGTTTCGTTTTGAGACGATTCACTTTCTGACATCTGTTCTACCTCCTGTCGTGGTGTTTGATTCTTTTGAAGACCACGTTTACGACTCTTTCTTCTTGTACTCGAACTATAATCAAGTGGTAAGTCACTACTACTCGTTTTCTTCCACTGATTTGTGCTCTCATGACGTGTTCCATAATGTTGCGGCAAATAAGGCCGTTCTGAATTCAATTCTTGTCGAATTTCTTGTGTATCAATGTTCCATTTATTATTAGCCACTGGTCCTCGAGATTTGTGTCGCTCTTCTTCATTTGACGAACTTACTCCATGAGCCACTCGTTGCAAAACTTTGTCTGTGTCTTCTATGGTGATTTTAGTAGCATGAAACTTTGGGTCGCCATGAAGTGCTTTAAGTTCCGTCTCGACGTTATTCCAAGCTACTAAAATACTCTCTAAAAACTGATTCCGTGTTACTTCGCTTGGTCTTGTCGGTAATTGACACGTGGGACAGTGAGATTTGTTCTGTTTTAAGTGCTGCAATATACACGGGAGACAGAAATTGTGCTTACAATCGAGACATTGTGGCTCTTGAAATATATTGTTACTACAAAGTTAAAATAGGAGCGTAAACATGAGCAAGAAAGAATGAAAGTTAGAAAGCAACAGACCAAAGAGTACACCGAAGTTGCTCGCGAATGAGACGAACAGCCTCTAATCGCCGAGACGACAGCAGCGCCATGATCGGTCTCTGACTGGCTAAAAATTAGAAAAAAGAGCAGAATAATATGAATTTTTTTATTGCTGTTTTAAGTGATAAAAAGATTGGCAGCTTCCTGGTGTTGTGGTTGTCGTAGACTCTTTATAAATTGCTATACGTATGTACAAGGTGACGGCAATATCAGCAGTTTTATCACTTGGCATTTGACTTGATGTCGTTTAAGATCGAACTCAACAAATTCATTGCATTTTGCGTGTTTTTCAAAAGAAATATTTTTGATTGTTTGCTGGTTTTGAGATAACATCAATTTTACATAAACAGCGCCTTGAAAAGATATGTTATTTCTACATGGACATATCCAAAAACATCGCAAACAACCCCACAAAAAGTTATGAGCAGGACGAACTGTGTCTACGCAAGCAGCAGACTGAGAGACAGATCCTCGAAGTCAGTTGTTTGTCCGTTGACGACAAATTGTCGTCTGAAACCAGGGCGCCAATGCTACCACTACATTCAACCCGCAGCTACTACACGCACGCTTCGTTTGAGTGCCCTTTAGCACCATTGCTGGTCCCACAGTCAAACTCAAATTCAATGACTTTCCACGCAAACCGTGGCACCGAAACCCTATAGATTATAGACCAAACTTATCGATAGCCGAAAGAAACTCAATGCCCTTTAAATGACGAGCTGGATCTTCGATTCACTCGACAACTCATTTAAGCATGCTAAGTGGTATAAGCTGCGCACCTTTACGATAATGGAGATCGTTCTGCGAGAGATATCTTCAACTATAAAGAACAAAAAATCCACCAGCCACCAGCGATGAGATGAATCTGCTGCAGTCGCCTGTTGACTAAGAATATATATAGAGAGAGTGGAGACACGAGCCGCACAAACTTCTGCAGCACATAAAAACTCAATCCATTTTAACATATCGTTCTCGCACCCGTAATAACAATTGTCGATCGTGATTGCGCCAAGGAACACGCCGACAGAAGCCGAGCAACGAAGAAAATGCTGGCTGTGCCATTAAAAACTGAGAAGTAATTGGATCACCACCACTTTGATTACGATTTCGCGAACTGAAAACAAATCAAATGACATCGGTAACGAGATGAGAAAGTGCACTAGCTTTAGCACCATAAAAAGTAACTGAGAGAAATGCGTAACAGCTGATAAAGCTCTTTGTATTCTGTCGATACTCTTTGGATCATGTAAGAGGCTTCCCTAGATAGCCTTAAACACAGCGTTTGCTTGCGCTTGAGAGGCAATAGGTGGAATTGCAACCGAATTGAAAAGATTTTCGGGCTCTGAAGCTTACTGATCAACACTACAAGAAGTCCTACATATCATATGTATATACCTACACATGTAGAAGTAAAACCGATTAACCTGATATATAAAACCGTGGGTTCACTAATCTTGAGCTTTGAGAAACTTTTTTTCGTGGAGCGTCCCCGCAAAGTGGCTGACTCACGCCAGGCACTCTCTTTAGATGGCAAAGACACGTCAGTCTCATCACCAGCGCAGATTCCCAAGTCGGAACGCTCATTCTGTACTGATTGTTATCACTCTATACTGCACATATGAACAGCATTCTGCACTGATTAATTCAGAGGACATACGTGACATCATCCAATGATGTCGCACTTCATGTGGGATCTGTCGTATAAAGAGCTTGTTAGTTGTCCTTACAATCCACGTCGAAGGTGATGTAAACCACATCCATGTAATAGTCAGGTATGGTCGATTACAGATCATGGTGTTGGTGCCGGAAACGTAAACCTTGAGTCAGGATGATATGAAAAGCGGGGAATGAGCGGTAGGTAGTAATTTTACGTGCTCGGCTGCAGTGGGCAAAATTCGCTGCTAGAGTGGAACCGGCCGCGTTCTCGATAGAATAGGTACATGATCAGGTGCGCAATCGCGGGATCTTGTGTGGGCATTAGCCATGATTGATCTACCAGGACCTAATCCTTTATATAATATTAGCATCGAGTTCAAAAGGGGATCGTTTAATCTCGACTGTAACCTCGATGTACACTAAAGATACAATAAGCGCGAAGTTGGACCAATAAAGATTTACCTCTCTTGCTATATGGTTGTGGTTAAGCGCTCGTTTAGGTACTTCACGCTCCCAAAATCCAAGCCTGAGACAATGTTTTGATGAACATTCCAACTGTCACTTTGTATCCATTCATACAGGCCGGCAATTTAACTTTTGCAAAGCATTAATCGGGATGACTTGATAGCTGGGAGAACTCTAAGAATTTGTGTACCATCATTGCAGAGCCTCGCGCCCAGATTCCGCTAATTTTCACAAAAACCTATCGCGCTGATACATCCTGAATCACGATATCTACTGATGAAAAATTTAATGGGACACCGGTGAAACATGAAAAGATCGATTTTACACATCGTGCTTCAAAATTTTGCGAAGACAATCATGAGACAATGTTACAAATAAACGTTCGCTTCGCTGATACTGGCTTGTAAAGCCCAAAAACGAGTATGATAACGTCGACTCATCATCCAATTTGCAAACTGAACCTTAGTGGCACCCCCCAAAAATACGCAAGGTATCTTTTATTGATATAATGATATTTTGATTTACTACTACCTATACCAACAGTAGCGGTAAATGCTCGCGGAGCGACTTTCTCGCATTTGTTTCGCTCCAATTGCTAGCAGAAGACTAACACACAGTAGCTGCGGACCGACTGGTCTGCAACTTCGGGCGGCCTCGAGATGTAATCATGATGGTTTGGGCAAGGGTCAGCGTGACACTTGAACGGCTTTCATCGCAAAAGTTGTCGGCATCCTCATCTAGAGCGTCGGTCGCGATGACGTGCTTTTGATGGGTTTTCTTAGAGCAATTTACTTTAACTTGGTGCACAGGAGTGGACTTTCAGTGCAACTACGGTCAAAAGAGCAGGCACGGTAACGCGCAGAGAGTGGAATGAAACTGGTTGCTCAAGTAGCAGTAGTTTTTGCGCAGTGTCTCACCATGACAAAAAATTGCCAGCCTCAGGGTTGTCTACATCGTTGTTGGAGAATCTAATGAGACAAGTACTGTAATTTTGTCTACGAAACACTTTCACGTTTGGTACAATTGCATTCAACCACAGTACAGGACATTCAAATTCGTTTAATTTCCAATCACCATTCTTGCTTGTGTTGAGCTTACTAGTAGTTATTCTACTAGTATTGAATATCTTGTTACTTGCGATTGCTATGTAATCAAGATAAATCCAAGGGAGAATCGAAAAATATACCATTTTCAAATTATATGGGAAAGTATACCATCTTCGAATTAAATGGAAAAATACTCCTCCAAAACAAGAAAAGATTTTTTTTACCTAGCAATAAATATTTTCGCAACAATGCAAAAAGTTACATGCAAAAATTAAAAAATAGAGAATTTAAACTTTTTTTATTTACAGCGTACAATCTTTGGGCAGCCTTAATGAGGTGGTTAAGATGCAATGCAAACAGAGAGATGGCGTGGGTTCAAACCCACTTGTTACGAATAAGGGAGTCACTACATAGACCGGAGAGATAGTGTGTATACTAATCAAAGTCTTGGCGTAAGTCGGTAATACTAAGTGCATTCTAACTCACAATAAAGCCAGAAAGCACATCTTAACACAGCTCGTATGGGAGTCTCATGGACCCCCCCGTCTTCGGATGGTAGGGGTGAAAGATTATGGCAGTTCGGCGAATAAGGCAAAATGGTGTTGAGCCAGTGTTGTTATCACCGACGTAGGTATGGTGCTGTGGAGCAAATGAAAGTTTACAAGGCATAGAAAATTTTGTGGTTGGCACAAACATTATCATTACTACAACAATCGATAAACGACGACGGGAGAAGACATTATGGGAGAGACGCGGGTGGCAAGCGAAGAGCCCGACACCTCATAGCAGCACTCAAGTTTTGAAATCAATTGGCACGTACAGAATTGCCTTTTGAAGATATATGGTTAACCAAAACGTGTCTACTTGCTTATGATGAAGCACCTGGAGCGAAGCCATTCGTGACAAAAAGTGAAACAGTTAAGAGTGAGCATCTTCCACAAAATCCATTCAGAAGAAAAGGACGACCAAAAAAGAATCGAATCGAATCACAGCATGCCACGCTAGAAGTTGACGCGCCAAAAAGTGTTTATCGATGCGGCAGCTGTAGTCAAGTGGGACACAACAAGCGTCGATGCACCAGTAATGCGCAGTATATGTTCTGTTTTTTTTTCAATAGTTTTAACTTCGAAGGTAAATTTCTGTCATTTACGTGGAAAAGTTGTGATTCAAGGTAGATTTCTACATTTAATTTCAAAAAAAGAATATTTTTTCTTTCCCCGTACATACAATTTGTGCCATATCGCCTTTTCATGGTTCGATATTCTCTAAACTTTATCTGATGTACCGCTCAGTCATTTCGCAATCAATGCTGCCTTCAAAGGGATTGATGTACACTATGTGGCACTCTCTAGTCAACAGCGAGGTATTTAAAGGGCCGTTCGACATCGCATAACATAGTTTCATACGTGCAGGCCACCAGTATCAATTAGTGACGCGGTGCGATAAGTAATTTGTATCTAGATTGGTTATAGATGACGATAGTAAAGTTCTATCAGTTTTAGCGATAGGGATGCCTATTGTTGTAAACTTCGACTCTTTTTCATTCAATTGCTCAACACCCATTAATTACGTCAATTCTCGTATCCTGAACGCAGTCACTGCAAATCCTAAGAAATAAGGCTTACCAAACATCAGATGGCACAATGGTACGCCAGGCAAATTGCAGGTTTTGGTACTCCAGCCAGAGCCGCCTCAAACGGACTCCGCTGATTTCTTTCATTGCTGGATCAAATGCAACTGCCACTGTTTTTGTGCAGCATCTTTCAAGCGTCTTAACACCTAATGATATCTGCAACGGGGTTGTCGTATTTTTTGCTGATAGATAGCTTTGACTCTAAGAGTCTGCGCTAGCAAACATACAGAGATTGGGTTCGTGCGCTCTACCAGAAGTGACACTGAATACATCTCACATAACCATTGCTGTTAGCTTGCTTTGCTATTTTTAAGGGACATATACTTAAATTTAATATGTACGTTCTATTACTTTTCATGCTAAAATTGTCTAGTTTTTCTGAGGCGACTAGTTTTGAAATTTTTAAAGGTACTCATCAATTGATTTATATTACGACTACACAAAATGTAATATGAAGGTCGTTCATAGCACATCGTAGCTTGGTGGTCGAAGAATACCCCTCTCCAACACTACTTACCAACGGCATCGTAACAAGAAATATTTAGCCTCTCGTAAACTTATACGAAATACTATGACAACTTTGAGTTTTGTCTTCTTGTAATGGCAGATTTAGTTTCGTTGCAAGATACGCGGTTAAAGTTTGCTGACCAAGAACTTGCTGGTGTTTGAAAAACAAGCGAGATAACTACGCATTACGTCAAAATACAAACGAAAAGTTTCGAATTCAGTGCTGATGATCCCATTGACCTGCAGTTATGGAACACAATCTTCCGACCTGAAATGAGAATCTGTGAAGAGTAAAAAGAGTCGCGAATTAATTATGTCGATCATTTGTGCAGAAGCCCTGTTTAAGACGCAACCTTTCGAGAACATACAGTGAAATGCACGTGTCAATAGCCGCTGATGAGGCTGTCGACGACGAAGTTACAATGCGACAATGATCCAGTTATCAAAGATGCTGTATCTGACTATGGCGATAAAAAAGCGCTCAACGAATTCAAATTAAAGCTGATGAGTGAATGACAACAGCAAAAGATTATCCGTTAATCAATCTTGACTTGACCTCATGGAATACATATCCATCACAACGCGTACGATTTATCATGGACCCAATCAGGCGGTTGCAAACCCGTGATGGAGATTTGGTCTATTGGGATCTATGAGACATACATTAAGTTAGCGAGCATTAGCCCGCACATAATGTCGTGCAATCAAATCTCTAGTATATCTGCTTTAAACTAATACATAAATAAACCGGACTGTGGCCAAGAAAATCATTCTACAACTGAGAGAAAATTATGCCAATAATAAAAAAATCGTCAAATTTTGATATAAGGTTTAATTTTTTGCAGGTACGTTTGCTACATATTTTATCATGTAAGTTATTACAAATAATAATGACATAACCGGCCAACAAATAATGGAATTAAAACGCATATCTACTGGGAAAAGGTCAATAATACAGCTATTATTCAAAGCGTCTGACAGCGCAACACATAGTGATTTGCTCTAGGACGTTTAGGGCTGCACAGGTCGAGCAGCGGACTATATATTGTAAATGTCTTACAAAATCTGGAAAAATATTATACTGTCACCTTTCGGATGTAGTTGTCTCGGTATCTGACGTACCCATTCAATCCTTTACCTATTTGATTCTAAGCAAAGCTCAAAGATACTGAGTCTAGTATCGGTGATGCAATACCGTGGTCGAATCTAATGACCAAGTACTGACAGTGATATCATTATGACGGTGTTTTATAAAATGGGGAGCCTTGCAGAATTCGTGATCATATGTGATGCGTTATGCAGGTTTTGAGCTTCACTGATGATACATTATATATATTTTAAGCTTGTTAATCTTAATCTGAAGTGTTAGTGAAGTATGGTTTCGCATCCTGAAGACGCCATTTGAACCAATCTTATGTGCGTATTTTAGCGCAAACTCAACGTCGAAAGCTTTTCTGTTAAAGTTGCCACGGTACCCCTGATGCAATTGAAATCATTTGCTGTTTGTCTGACGTCTAAGTCTTAAAAAAACTGTTCAATTGGAGGATGCACGATACAATGCTTACATGTTTCTCCTTGAGTCAATAAATCAAGCTTGATATACAGATGGTTCCGTGGTGATGGAGCAATCGATAGTCTTCGGACCGCAAGCGTTTAATGCTCGTCTCTAAGCTTTCACTGGCTACGAGAGTGGGCTTGTGCGACGCCTCGAGAAAAATTCATTTGGATGTCAATAGAAGTGCTAACAAGCTCTACCGACACCCACAAAGATAGTTCGGCTCTCCAAAAAATTTCATCTTTTCATATCTAAGATCTTTAAAGATTTAAAAAATCATCTTTAGATGCGAGAAGTTTATGTGGGCATTTCCTTGGCCCTGCTTCAGACTGAGAAGCAGCGCGTCGCGCTAGCAACTGTTAGCAAGGCGATTGGGCAGCGCATTTCGATTTACGATAAGGCATTCCGTAATATTACGTGTTTTTGCACAGTATAACCAGGATTACCGCACGGGGTTTAAGCTTTCTTCGCCCTTCAAAAACGGTAAAGTAAAAAATGACGCACTACGCTCAAGATTTGAAAATTTCATATTAGAAAAGCGAGCTGATCATGTTCCGGATACGGTATAGGTTATCATAGTCATGAAATTAACACTTAGTGAGACTTGTTCCATCCCAAAAAGCGGTAAGCATTGTATTGAATGTACAAATTTACTTTGGATATGCAAAGCTAGAATGTATGCGAGAGGCGGAGTTCGGTATGTGTCAGAGGCGAATTAGGCAAATTACAATGAAATCGCAACTTGGCTGACGAGCAGCGCCTGATTGCCAAGTTTACGTACGATAAATGTGGACTCATTTGTAGTATGTGACTTATTATACTAGGTGTCAAAGCTCTTTAACTTCACGATAAAGCTTTAAGACTTTGATGTGAAGGGTTTGATTGGTCTTGAGCATGAATACAAAAAATTATCTTATCCTTGGTATGATTTAATTAGCTTGACACAAATCATGTATTGACTTCTAGGCAAAGAATAGGTGCCATGCGGTGAATCTTTGATGAGTCATTATCCCACCTCGACTAGAAAGCAGAAGCTCTTTGGGGTGCAAGTGCAATGCTGCAACCTTCTTGCTGCAGGACAGCTTATTGTCCGAGTTATCTGACAGTAATATCATCAAAAGAGCTCGAAAGGTAAGAACTACCGCGAGCCGTTTTCGGGATTATACTCTTACTCAGCTGGGGTCTTCAAACATTTGATTTGAGGCATGACAAACCGTAACAAGGATACGAACAGTCTAAAGCCAGGCTGTCCAAGTTTCCTCTACTGCGATGAAAGGAAGGGATCGCATGTTGCAGTCTCGTCTTTTTGTCCCGATTCAGATAATCGGTGTGACCAGAAGCCGCGATCTTCAGAACAGGCTTTGGGCGACTATATTCTAAGCCATAGCCTTGATGTTATAAAATACGAAAAAAAGGCTATAACGTGACGATACAGCTGGGACAGCAACATAAATTGACGTGCCCCTGCTCGCATCATCAAAGTTTCACAGGTATGTGACAGCCAATCAAAATGACCCAAGAATGGAGTAGGTTTGTGTAGTATGGTGCTTGCATTGCAATTCGGCACAATTTTTGATGTAATGTCTCAATCAGCCATATAAGTATGACATCAAGGCGCTTTCGTTTGTGCACAAAGCGCTCGCACCACTGGTGAAAGTGGTGGATATTAGAAGAGAAAATTGGTGGTGTGGAAACGAAAAAATGGACGGGTGCCAATTGCCTGCTCAATGTAGTGGGTTCACGCGTCATTACACATATCCATTTTTCAAATTTCATAATATAGTAATATTACCTGCAAAAAAGTATCACGTCTTTGTCAGTGTACGGTAACAACACATGTCAATTTGCTATCAGCGAGCTTTTGCTTGATCAGCCAGATATATTATCCAGCAATTATGAGCAAAATTGACCAGAAACACCGATTTTTCCACAAGTAAGGCCGAAAGTGATGGTGTTCAAGATGTTAAAACAATTTAATGTCATTTCTACACGCTTTAGACGATACCCGCTGAGATCCTTCCGCAAATTCTACGAACAAGTCGCGTGATCATGCCAATAATCATGTCACAATCAATCCTATATAGGTTGTGCTTCCGTCATCAAAGAGTGCGTGTGAATAGAAGCAGAGGACTTTACAGCTTTGTTTCAAAATTGGATTAATTATATAAGGATACCGAAAGCATTATACAAAGAGAGCTATTAATTAAGAAAATACATGGACAAATTATCACTCCGAATCTCATTAAGAGAGAAAATTATTTATAACCGCTAGGAACAGAGTAAACATATATACCCACAAACGATCAAATCGTGTTGCAGCAGCGTTTCACAGTTTTTGCAAAGTAACTTAAGAATCAATGAAAGGTTAACTGGAGCAGCAAAAGCTTTGTTCAACCGCTATCAAGAAGCAGGTATACTGAGTAACATAATTCTCGCTTGTGAACATGAACTCTGTTCACCAAGGAATACCCTGACAGATTTATTGTCGCTTTTAATCTGATGATCGTCGATACAACATCGATTCGTCAATATGCTACGCAGCAATTTGAGTCCGTCAATACGCAGCTATTGCTTCCATGTATATTCTTAAGTTTCGTTTCAAAAGCTATTGGGCAAAAGCTGTAGAGACACCAGCAAAGAGTTGCCAAAATTTCGGTCAATGATCTATCGTCAAACGCGATCGTGCGTCAAATGTACAGGTATTATGATTTTACGCGAGTGAATCCATCCCCAGAAATCTACCACAAAAGTGTTTGAATTAAACATAATTTAAGGTTGTACAATGACTGGCAAATCTATTATGATTCAAACCCGTCAGGGACGAGCAACACGCGCTTCTGAGCTCCAAGTGCCGTATCTAAGTCGGCGAAAGAGGCATTAGTGAGCCAGCTAGTGACAGCTTTGCACTCGGTTTTCGGAAAAGCTGGCAATGAAAAAAGCGACTACCTATCTGCAGCCTAAGAAAACGGAGCGACGGATCTTACGCGAGGATAAGAGAGATAGAAAAAAGTTTTCTTTCTTGATGATGTATCGCTTCTGTCCAAGGTAAGCTGAATATGGAAATCAAGAGCGGGTGTTACCTTTTACCTGGATTCGCTTTGGAAAGAGACAATTGACAGTAAAATTAGACCACCGACCTTGTCACTCGCAGTTGGTATGGTCTAATTCTGAACCAAAAACTACAACACTCATCTGATATACCATGCCCAAGGTTTTATATCACCATAAATGTCTACTCGTTAGAATCGGAACACTGCGTAATGCTTCTGGGTCACTGCTAAAAAATATGGTACATACAAGCGTAGGAGCCCAAAATAAAGTCATTTGCTGCTTAACTACATTAGATCTGATGATTGAGATATGGTTCCGAAAAAAAAATTGTGCCTCAATCAAATCAACGCTTCACCGATTAGTTGCGATTCACTATGTGTGTTGAAGCACCTTAGTGAGTCAATAAGCATGAAATCATATAAAAATCAATTGGAAACCTTACTTCGATGCACGGTCGAAGGATTCTGTTAAGCGCACAAGAAGCCGCATGACAATAAATTCAGGCTCGGTAGTGCACAGCGTCAATATACATGGATTGTCTTTGTCAACATTCGAAGTTCTTCGCAGCAATTCAGACGCTTAAGCACACCGTCGAAAACACCAAGTCAAACCTTTGTAACATTTGCTGAAACATATATTGTACAGTAATCATTAGTCTGAGTGCTCCAGAAGTATATGATCTAATACGATAAAATAACATTTTAGCTAATTAACTAGCCCGTTGTTAATGAGCTCATAACTCTACCCTACGAGTACCGTTGAGCGGGTCAAACACTTTTGGTCGTTGAGGGTCTTTTCATACGACTATTTCAACAACTTTCATTTTTATTGACTTTTATACAGGTGAAACCAACCCACTGCTGTAGCGGGGCTGCCGTAACTCTTTGCTTAGGGGAAGCTAAGCTAAGGTCACCGACCTTACGTTCTATACAGAACCAGTACAAGTGTAGCGGATCGCAATCCGCTACCTCCAAAAGTGAAAACCTTTACGTTCAAAATTGAAACTTTATTAGACACTGTCATGTGCGGCAGAGCCGCCTATATATGAATCTGAGGTTTTTCTTATTAAATAGTGAAACCTAATAAATATGCAGTACTACTGGCAAGTGGCTTCTTGTTACGGTGTAGCCACACCATTGTAGCTTGTGTAATCCACACCTGTATACGGTGACACCATCTTGTGTGACCCACCCTTTCATACAAGGGTACGTGTAACCAGTTACACTCTGGGTTCGTCTAATCCGGTTACAACTGCCATGGGTATTCATTCACTTTGCTAAACTATGATCACGAAACGATGGCGATAACCATTTGGTGGTTTCTGCCTTTCGTGATTTGTAAAGTGCAGTGATCTTTATTTTTTCTTCATGTAACCTTCTCAGTGGAAGTCGGCAGGCAATGCTTTCCGTAAATGTGGGAGAAGTACAAATATTTTTTTCAGCTCAATTGTAGCATTGAGATCAAATATTGCGATTCGAAGCAATGACATTCTTAGAAAAACTATTTTCCCAAAGGCACTAGGAACAAGTAAAAGCAATATTATGACTTGTGATGCTTGATCAAATCGTCACGATGAACTTACTAAGAAACAGACTTCTTTAATTCTTAATTCTGGTCATCTGTTCAGTATATAAAGAAAAAGCAAAGTAAAACATCAATGCAATGCGTACAAAGGTAAACAACTTTCCACCATCGTCTAATCAAGCATCTCACAAAAAGTGTACTAACGACGATATGGGAAGTCAAAGGTTATGCTGGTATACAATGAACTGATTTAACAATGTGCGATGAACGTAACCAAATTTAAGCGACGGTTTAATAATAAATAGAAAGCTTCACAAGAGTCATCACCGAAATGGGAAACAAACCATGTCATGACGAGTTTAAGAGTGTATTACCGTCAGAATCACCAGCTAAAGTTCATGCATCACGAGTTTCTGACTCGCAATCAAATACCGACGTTTGTTGTCGACCATCAAGCCACTTTCAAACTACAGAGAAACATCCAACAGCCAATTCGGTAACTAAAATCCCGCACATTTCTTTCAAAACAATCGTTCCAAGTCATACGTTGCAGCAGAATTTCAACGAAAATTCAAAGAATGACGATCCATTTTTAATACCTGAAAGTGTGCGAAGATCTCAGACTTTAAATGCACATGTCGATGTTTGTTCGGAAATTTTGCCTTCTTTTTTATATGTAAGCAACGTTCATGTAGCACAAGATAAAACCAAATTGCGTTCACTTGGTATCACTCATATTCTCAATTGTTGTGCCGAATACAAGTGGGAATTTAATGACATTAAATTGTTTGAAACATCAGATGATGCAGAATTTCAAATGCTTGAATTGTCTTTACGAGATGATGCGACGGAAGACTTGACTCCGTTCTTGCCACAAGTTTTAGTGTGGATTGCTAATCTTCGACAACAATTACAGTCTCAAGAGAAAACATCTCAAATCAAAATACTTTTGCATTGTTATCAAGGTGTGTCTCGGTCATGTGCATTAGCAATTGCATACTTGATGCTGGAGCAACAAATGACGTATCAAGAAGCTGCTTCAATGGTCAAACGTCAGAGAGCAATATCAAGTCCAAATGCAGCATTTATTTGTCAATTACTCGAGTGGGAAAAAGAGCTACAAGCGATGCGAATAGGTGGCATGGAATTTCAAATAAATCGACTCTATCGTTTGACGCCGCACTCTTTTTACGATCCAGAAACTCTCGTTCTTAAGCAATGCTATACAGCATCAATTCAAAACGAACAGAATCGAGTAATTGTAAAGACAGTTGAAGATGAACAACAGTATTTATGGTCGTATGGCACTTTTGTCTATCAAAATTGGAACCAGGTGAGAATATGGCATGGAAGTAAGTGTCGAATTTTTGAAGCTGTGGCGAAAGCTATTGAACTCGCTCGTCAATTATTTCAGATACTTACTCTAGCACAGTCATTTGATACTGCTGTTAAGCCACGTGACATTATTGTTCTGACTGAAGGCACTGATGGTCTCAAAGGTACCGAGATTGATCACTTTGGCTATGCTACTGAGTTGCAGTGGACTCACGATCTGGATCCAAATTGGCCACAAAGATTCTTCTTACCTACTGACGCGAAGGCTACAACATCTCGATTAAGAACAAACCAGACAAATGTCATACCAATCATTCAATTGTATCGCTATAAAGGGATTGACGATCAAAGTATCGACGTGTGGGAACAATTAACCAATTACGATTCCGAAGATTTGACATCAGATTGTGCCTTTTTACTCATTTCAACGACGTCAGAAGATGTTGGAACTAAATTTGTTTGGATTGGCATCAGTTGTTTGTATTCACATGATGAAATTGTTCAAGCAGCACAGAAACAGCTTCATTGTCTTGTTCTAGAAAAACAGGAATCGCTACCATCGATTCAACTTGAGTTTCAAAATAATGAAAGTGAAACGTTTTGGGAGGTTTTTGAAGCGGGATATTAGATATAGATCCGCGATAGGTTTTGACAGGTCGCTGTGATGAGCTTTTTTATTGTACTTTACACAATTGTCAGCTCTTACTAATTCAGTACATTAATGATTCTTGATCGTGCTTGAATTGAAACGTCGCTCAATTTTTTTTGATTGTATCAATTTTTGAATATGGAGGTTGCTGGAAGTGAATTGCTGGCATTGAATAATCTTCTCACGGGGCTATCAAATGCTCAGGACGTCAAAGAGGTGAAAAGTATATGCTGTCTAGTATCATTTATTATCTCTAATTGACTTGGTGCTTGTAAAGCTACAGACTTACGAGATCACACCTTCCACGCTTAATGGAGCATCTGCTAAGCTTCCTGAAGGTACATGCTTCAGCTTCTTTTTATTATATTATGCTAACACAATATACTATGTAGTAACTCGACCTATTGGTCAAATCTATCAGAAAGATCCTAAATCGATTTGGTCGATGGATGAAGTTCCAAGTGACGATGAAGACGACGATTTTGATACTCGCGCTCGTCCTAAGTACAACGATATGTGCTGTTTTCAATTTGAAGAGATGAAATTTATTCAATTTGTGTCTTATGAGGTTTGAGATTCTGTACAAGCAGAACATCATGACGGAAGATATTTTCCTTGGATTGAGCGATAAAGATCCATCCTCAGCTCATTGTGAAGCAATGGTCATTCGACTTGAGTGTCCTGATCACCAACTTGAAGACATTGAATTAGATGTAAAGCGACAAAAGTTGATTGTATTGTCATCAACGTTGTACGTACTTTTTTGGCTCTTATCAAAGAAGTGTACGACACTGTATGACAGATACAATGTTAGGAAACTTGCATTACATTTGCCTTATCCAGTGCACCATCATGAAGGTCACGCAAAATGGGATCATCAAACTCAATCTCTTATTGTTACTTTACCTATAATTCGAGACGAGTGGTAGTAAGTCAAATCTGCAACGCAATTATTTGCTCTATCAAGACGAATGAAGCAGGCGCGGGGCTACTTGCTGGAGCTGTTATGAAGCATCAAAAGATCTCTCTCTATTGACTTATCTTTCGTATATAACTTCTAAATCTCCCTCCTTCAATTTTCTCATTCTCGAGATCACTTAGCGTTATTCCTCCATACTTTGTATTGGTTCGACTCGGTGCGTCCTTCTGAAGAAATTCGATAAAATCCACAACTTGTTCCATTTTCCCCATGTTCGGTCGCGAGTGTTTTCAGATCATACAACAAGTCATTGTACAGGTAATAATCATTCAAAATGTCGGCTTTGTCCGATCGATTTAAATCGCTACCTTTGTAACCTATGTTTGAAGCATGTTGTAGAAGCGTTTTACCATCGAAAAAGGCCGTTTTGTGTTTTTCATATTTCTTGAGGCTCTCTCGATTATCTTTCCACAACTTTCTGTTAGTGAGAACTGTGGAAGTAATGTCCTCATACGAATGAGATGGAGACCGTTTGAAGATGTCAGTCCAGCCAGTAGCCTTCGCCTCTACCTTGCTGACTGCTAGCAAAGCCACAGCGACAGTGACCAGAATCTGGAACAAATGCATAAGCGCATTGGTTGTCATAGTCTTGAGTTCAACAAATCGTTTGGTCTGCTTGAAAATTCTCAACTGGTCCATACGAACTCCATTAAAGTTGATTCTTATCGAATTCGCCGGAAATTTTTAAAACAAACATAAACGAGCTACTAAAAGTATCGCAATGATCTGCTGAAAGATGAGACGGCACATCCAACTACTGGCCAGAAAAAGTTAAGAGATAAATTGAATATATTCAAGCTTCTCTTGGTTTGTAGACATGTAATTTCGCTGCTGATTCTTTGGACCTTCAGACAGATAAAGCAATCAGAGAGCAGTACGCCTGAGAATGAATTCATCATTGACTAAATTCTTTCGATGATCAAGCGGATGCAAGCAGCAAATTAATGTTCTTTCAAGCCGGTTAAAATGAAAAACATCACATTTAGAAGAATTTTCTTATCTCTCTTTTCTACACGTTAGCTATCCTACAAGATTCAAAAAGTGGTGGTTCCACCTTAACTGACTCTTGAACTGGATACCTACGCAAGACGTCCTGTAATGGAGTCATCGTCACCTATGACCTCCAGTGCCTATTCACCAAGTAAACATCGAAGTATATGGTCCAACCGCGTACACCGTGAGCTAAAAAAGTGTCGTGCTACTAACGCTCTACCGAATGATGCGACTCTACATCGTGCACAAATCTCTGAGTCCTGTGGTGTATGTGAATGTGAGTTCCACTGCTTTGTGCCGTTTGTCGAAGGTTCGGATGCACTATCGCTGGTACCACGAATCGATCTGGTCGTGCATATGTCTTTTTCAAGCGATAAATTGGCGGATGGCCTTGTGCAATACCCCTTTCTAGCTCCTGAAGTGGAAATATACCATGGCGCCTTCTACCTACCTATCGAAATGCGCGAACGCAAAGTAACCAAACCTGGTACTAAAGAACCCATCACTATGCTCAAGCTACCGTTATCCGAAGAATACTTGAATTACACAACATGAAGGTCATGTGAGCCACGTTAAATTGGTCGATCTAATATATTTGTGGGTCGCATTTACTGCTATGTTCACGCTATACGGTTTATGTTCTGATTGAAGTAAAAGAAGTATGTTTCGTATCAATTTAAAGTCATGCGCAACACTAAAGTAGGGCACATCTGAGATCACAAGAACAATGAAGAGCCTGAATACCCCAGAGGCTCTTGGTTCCGGTCCTGAGTGAAGCGTACGACCTTATTCTCAAATTCATGTGTAATTGAAGAGTCAGAAAATTATCTGTACAGGAAGTTGGCAATCTTGTTAAAACCAGAAAAGTCGCTTAATTTGTGCGTAGTCATCTGTAGTCAGGTCGCGAACAACTAAACTGGAAAAAGTCTCTTAGATCCAAGATCATGAGAAGCCAGCAGAAGAGAAAAATGATATGTTTTGTGATTAGTGGCATCAAAAGCTTAATGAATCAAACATCAATTGCAAGACCCACACTAAGGAATAGTTTAGAGTTTGCCATTCACAAGAAAGACTAGCAAGAATCAATCTGCGTACGGCAATAGAGGAGTGCAATTACTTAGATGACAATAGTCCGTGGGAATTTTCTCAAGTGCCATCGGCTATACAAATGCGATAAGGAATCCGATACGGTCGAATGTCTGTAGCTGGGATCAGAGCTTTTAATTGTTAGGTTATAATTATGAATCATAGATGTCAAAAGCAAGTTACGATACGAATTAAATTTGTTCCATGTTCTTGACGTTAATAAGCTTGTAAATGTAAAGAAATCAGATCACTTTTAGGTACAGGCAGTAGACGCCCATTCTTGCTTTTGGAGCCTCATCATAATCACTTTTCTCTGTGTTTCTACATTATAGCAGGTGATGTGCTGAATTAGGCACATTCACTACCGAAACCACGAGACATAGTACATTGCTTGTTATCTAACAGCATTTATAAACTTCAAATTCTTTGTATTTGGTAAGATGATGCAAGAAAGTGGTTTGATCATGCAAACGATGATCTTGCCCCAACGAAAGAAACGCTTTCATATTCTTCAAATCTAGTCTCAGGTTGCTCACCACTTCTCAATCGCTTTTTCATGCCAGTAAATTACCTTTTCGATCAATCTTACATCTCTGACCAGGTCCAGGGTCCGAGCGTACCTTTGAAAAAAAATGTCTCCTTAAGCGGTATGTTCGCGATCAAATCGCAAGACCCAAAGTTACCCCCAAAGCAGCGGCTTTGCTAACAACAAGTTCAGAGAAATGACTAATTGCTGCATCCATGAACTTCCATTAGAGTAACAAATTGAGATAACGGTAACACCCTTTCATGTTCTTTCAATGTTTTGGATAAATTGTTACCTTGCTAGGTCCGTATCAAATTCCAGACCATACCGCCCCAAATTCCCGTCCATATAATATGGTGCCATCACTTCAAAATCAAACATTGCGCAATCGACCATCACGATGCATCCCTTTCTATCATCTTATCACCGAGTTGATCCATGAGTGACGTTCTATGGGCAATAAGTAGTAACTCCTCCATTGACTAAATGTGTCAGTTTAACTGACACTGTTACTTCAACATAAATGTGTAGTCAAAGGGTCTAAGCTATGCGAAAATCGATTTCTTGAAGGAACTCTACTAAGCCATCTCAAGAAACCTTGCCAGTATAGATTTCCATAATCAACTTCCATTGCGTTTAATTTTCGGTCCAAATTTGGTAATGAGAGCAGAATTATTTGCTTAAAGGATATCCGACTTCCAATGCTGAATTACCTGCTGCATAATAAAGTTCTCTTGCTCTTTGTATCTAATGATCTTCCAGATCCAGATGATATCGTATCTTTGTGAAAGTAGATTGGAAACTGCACATCCTTCTCGCCTTATGACAAAATCTGAAAGCTGCTGAGGAAACGTATTTCTTTCCGGAATAACTGACTATGATGGATCAACGAACTTCTAAAAATTGTCTATTAAATATCTGATACACTGAGCGAATGAACGTAATTTTGTTTATTAAAAAACACTATAAATTACGGAATAAAAATGTATACTATTTTTCAAAATAATAATAGTAATAGTATCGTGGCATCGTAGCCACTATTGTCCTGTGTATCATGTCTACAGTCCCAGGAATTGAAAGTCCGGAGGCGCTAGCGCGTTTAAATGCGGCCATCATGGGCGAACGCAATCCTCGCGGCATTCCTTCATCTGTCTTTGTGGTATGTCATTTAGTTTGAAACACATGTGTGTCGTAATGTCTTATGTATTGTTGTCTATAGGATTCTGTTGAGTCATATATGACCGAGTGCGGTGTTAAGACTATTGAGCCACTCGTGGGAGCATTGCAACAAATGTACAGCAAATATAAATTTATGGAAACGAATTTGCAGAAGAATCGCGAGACATTTAAACGAAAGATTCCAGAGACACAAAAGGATTTGGACATGGTGCAGCATTTGATGACAAAACGAGATGAAGGCGAGACACTTCAGACCCAATTTAATCTTGCAGATAATGTTTATGCCAATGCATCAGTTGATTGCAGTCTTGGTAAAGTTTGTATCTGGCTTGGTGCTCAAGTTATGGTGGAATATTCGTACGAGGAAGCTCAAGAGCTACTGGAGAAGAACATGGCTACAGCTTCAGAAAAATTGGTAATTGGTATCAAAAATTGGGTAAAAATGCATTAATTTTGAGTGTTTTTTTGTGTTCAATAGGCTCAAATTGAAGAAGATTTGTCATTTTTGCGGGACCAAATCATTACAACAGAAGTGAATATTGCGCGTATTTTCAATCATGATGTACGTCGTCGTCGCCAAGAAAAAGATACGAAAGTGGTGACTGAGCTTGACGCAAAATGAGACTAAAACAAGGTTTAGTCATGAATTAACTATAATACTGACTTTTGATCTTGAAAACTACATTATGTCATAATACTATTTTGTTTGATACTATTTTTCAAATGCAAGTTTAAAGTTTCACATAACAATATAAAAATATTGCAATAATTCTATTAAAATAATCCAAATCCCTATCCGGGTTTTCTCTAAGACCCAATCATTATACTGGGTAATATCACGTCAAAACGGCCATTTCCTTGACATTCTTTGAATTAAGACGGGACTTTTCACGCCCATTCAAATCCATTTCATCCCAATTTGGATCTAAAGTTTCCGGAGCTGGTCCACCAAGTAAAATTTGAGTACATCGAGCTTGAAATCGTCGACAATATGCTGTTGGTGCAATTGCTGAAATCCCTCGAGCACATTTACCAAGTAAAACTTTACCAGCTTTTTCAAATTGTTTCTCCCAATCCCATTCTTGAAGAATATCAATAATTCCAATAAAATATATTTCTTTCTCTCCAAGTGGTGCTAGATTCATTCCAGAATTAATATCTTCGCAATGATGAATTGATGCTTCAATTTCTATTGAATCATTTCTTTCATTCAAACTTTGAGATCGAGAATGACATTTATGAATTCCAATTAATAACGAATAATCCATAATTCCACGATCTCGTAAAAATTCACAATCAGATCTCAATTGGGTATGTAAATGCATGGCAATGTGTCGAGGTAATTGCAATGTACGTTTTAAATCCAAATCTTTGAAAACAATATCTGGTCGATGAATATGAAAAGGAAATGTTGATGTTTCAATTGAATTACAACCATCTTGATTGTCGATTACAGACGAAATCTCATCACCATTATCAAAAATATATGATGCATCGCATTCTGCACATGTCACTCGATCTCCACTTTGTGGTCGACGTGCTTGTCGATTCACCCACGATCCTTTCACATCATATTTTTCTAATATCATAGATGTATGACCTTCACTATGAAGAACATTTGACATGACAGCAAAATAAAAATTGCGTCCATATAAACGAACTCGATGACATCCAAAGAATCGAATAAGTCGGGAATGAGGATTTCCAGTCAAATATCGTGCATAAGCTGGTGCCATATGTACCAACGCTCGACATTCTTTTTCTTTTAAACTTTTGACTAAAAGTGATTTATCTCCTGAAAAAAACATAAATGCACCACTTGATCCCGAACTTACACGTTCTTTTGCTGTTGTTCGAAAACTTGCTAAATATTTTTCATCGGAAAGTTGAAATGCCAATCGAATTGCACGAAATGCACGTGGAGCATAATCTACAAACACTTTTGGTTTAATTTCATCAGGAATCATTTCACGAGATATCCAACTTTGAAAAATTTCCGATCCAGAACTTTTACTTCGACCTCGATAACCTCCACGTCGTTGATTAAATGCTGATGTTGCAGTACGTCGAAAACCTGCAAAAACTGCCGAACGTGTGGAAGTTTCTTCAATTGGTTCATCACTTGATGATCGAGTACTTTGCAGCTCAATTTCTTGTTCAAAAAGCTCAAATGGAACTTGAGAAACGGGATAAAGAGAATTTCGACTTCTTGATTGGCTATTAATCAAACATGGACGAGTTTCTACCAATAGATTCGATTGGAAGGTTTCTTGACTAGATCGAAAACTTGTAGAATCTCTTCTTGATACACATGAAAAGGATGTTGGTCGTGGTAATAAATGACTGCTACGTTGTACTTCTTCATCAAAAGCATCAAGAGAATGAGAAGGTGTTATAGAATGTGGTACACGAGGTACACAATATCTTCGAGGTGGTACATTCTGAACATTCGAGAGAACTGAATGATGGTCTTGATCATCCACAAATAAAGTTGTTTCTATTCCATTCTCACAATCATTTAATGTTGCTCTTGTTTCTATTACTTCACTTGATCGAACATTTGCACGTTCGGCAGCACGAATAATTGCTTTTGTAATTCCACAGACTGTATAATAAATAATCTCTCGCTGTAAGATTTCATGAGATTGTGAAGCTTCATACGATTCAATAGTTGAAGTTTCATATGAAGCTGATAAACGACTTAAACGTGAAATTTGATCAAATGTTGGGAATGATGGTTGGTCTTGTGATTGTAAAACATCATGTGTACCAGTATCATAAAATGTTGGTGAGATTATAGGTTCTTGTACCACATGCCCATTTTCATATGGGACTCTTGTGGTACATGTAGTCTCAGTATAATTTCGAGTATATGAGTCTGAAGATGATGCTGAAAGCGATGCTGAATGATCAAGAGATGCATCTTCATCATTATTGGTACAATGATGTAAACCACAAGACACGAGCTCAAGCACACAACAAGGTTTATTAACACTAAGCCACACGATACTAGTGACAAATCCTTTACCAGTAACAAGAAAGTGAAAACACAGACGCAAAATATTCATTTTGGCATCATTTGGTACATTTGAATCATTCACTTGAATCTCTTCAAGAGCTTGAATATTAGTACGATAGATGAAAAAGATAGCAATCAAAACGATCCACATACTAGTAAAAGCATGAACATAAATGGTCATACGTTTTAAAAGACGACGACGAGCTTTCAGTGCAATGATTGTACCACTATTTGAACGCCACCAACTTATAAAAAGACCCAATTGAGCGGCAAAAATGATCAAAATCACGGTACCACCCACAATGCCATAAAATGCAAGATTTAAATCTTGCCATTGTGCTATTCGATGTCTTTTCATACTTTTTGACTTGATTGCATCCGTAGGAAGAAGTGGAAAGACAAGTGACACGATTCGACATAACTCAGTGTTTGTAAGTTGATACTTTTCTTGAGTATACTCGGAAAAGAGACTAAATGGTAAAATGGTACTTGCAAGTACTGAGCCTCCCCAAACCACAACATGGTACAATATTAATTGACGTTTGTGATTTGCAAATGGGTTCGAAATTGACACAAAAAGATGCAAAATTGCGGCACCAAACCACCCAATTCCAGTCAATAATAAAAAAAGATCCACACTTATAGAAATGGTACATGGTATCATAACTAACGACCGACACTCTCCATTAGTGGCATTACACATAATCATCACATGAACCAACGTAAGTATCGCAAATCCAAAGTCGCTTAACGCAACATATGCCAAGCAATCATTGGGTCGTTTCTGTAATCTTCGTCGTTTTAGAAATGATCCAAAAATTATAACTGTTGAGAGAAGACTCAGACCTGATCCCAAAACCAAAGGTAGAAATGTAGCCACTTGTTTTGGAAACGCAAATGTGAGGACAAAAGACGCTGTAAAGATCACCAAAGCTATAGACCAGAAAACCACTTTATTCCAACGACGTCGCCATTGTTTCCAATATGGAACCATCCAAAGAAATTCACTTTTGATATTCCCAGTCACTTGTACTGAAGTCGAAGAATTTGCATGTAATTGTACTTGACTCGATGGTCTCCAGTCCAATAACGTTGACAGAGATGTTGAATCACGCGTATTGGCTCCAAGTATTGCTGACAATGCATGTGAATGACTAGGACCACGTACAACACCTTCTACCAATAATTCAAACTCTTGAGCTGTTTGAGTAGGAGTTAACATAGCTTGATACTGTGAACTACTATCAGGACTTGATGGATGCAACCCTCGCATCGTACACAATGGCGAGTACGAGACTGAACTCTCGAGCGCGATCCGGAATCTTCTGAGCTATATATATTCCTACATTAAAGAAACCTTTGTGGCTTTTCAAACCTTTTCGAGTCTTTTTCCAACGGCTTTCTACATAGAGTTTACTGAAGTGTACCGACAAGAGAATTTGAGGTCATGATTGGATTATTATAAGAGACTAACATGAGTTTTAACCAATAGAGGAAAGGAGAAGTAGTGATTTGGCCGTTATTGTATGTAACCTCATGCTGCTTGGTGATCAATCGTCACTACGAGAGACAAAATTATGTCAAGTCTTGCTATAAATCGTACGACGTATGTATCACAGTATCCCATTTGATAGATTGACGTGCTGCAAAGCTGCGAAACGCGCACCTTTTCGTAAGGTAGAAAGAGGTTACGTCAGAGGTTACGTTGCGAAATCTCAAGTCGTTATATACGCCCGTTGCTTCAAAATTTCACTGACGAGGAGTAAACAATAACTGATAAGAACCTTTTGCAAATGGCTACATATTGTCACAATAATACTAAAACCAGATAGATTGATATCTAATTCCGATCGTCTAGATTCTCTTCTCCTTCAATACTATCGCTCTGCATAGAGTTTGGAACTAGTTGGTCTTGGTAAGACATGCAGCGAAGTGGCAACTCGAGCAACTTGTCATCCTCAAAGATTATTGGTGGCCTTACACATGATCAATAACATTGGTTAATTATTGAAACACTTTTTTGCAATAATCACGTACAAAAAGTCAATAAATTCTTGTTGGGGAAGATACTTAGCTGCCACCTGACGTCGAGCTTCAAGATCGCTACCATGCATAACAAGTGCTTTGACTTTTTCTTTGTAAGTCACACGCTCATTGTCTAAATACTCAATTTGCAATAAGCGTCGAATGACTCGAGCACGATAAAATACCTTCGCAATTTGAGTCACCACAAATGGATTACCATCAAGTGAAATATATCCAACATAACGAAGACCGGCCAAAACGTTCAGTTCGTTGATATCAGTAATATTGTTGTGCGCAAGTTCTAGTTGCTGAAGTTGACTGCAATTCTGAATACCAATAACAATAAATTATTGTAAAGTAACCCATATTGATGACAAAATTACCAACATACTTCGAGACTCGACAATGTGTTGACCTGATTATAAGCAACGTTTAAGTGTGTCAATCGTGGAAGAAGCGCTAACGTTGAATCAATCTCCGTGAGTTGATTCCCGCTCAATAATAACGTTGATAGAGCCTGGAGTCCACACGACAAGTCTTCATTGCGTATTAAACCAAGCGTGGTTGTTAATTTATTGTGTGAGAGATCGAGCAGACGTAAAAATCGTAATTGACTAAGACCAGAAATCACTTCAATACTATTGTGTGCAAGTCGTAATTCCAAAAGATATGGATGTGTCCTAGCGAGTTCATAGTGAGGCATTGATACAATCCGATTTTTGTCAAGCGTAGCTTTTCGTAAAAGTGACCCAATCCAACCACCTCCATCCCTCCATGCAAAGTCTGAATTGCATTTCGGTACTGTGAAGTCGAGAACTTCAGTGAGTTGATTTCCAGTAACATCTATTGTCAATAATAATGGAATGTATTGAAGTGGACTCAACGATTGAAGTTCATTTTGTCTACAGAATAAGTGCTTGATTGCAATTGTACAATATCTACTAAACACAATAATTGTATGATCAGCAGTACCTGAATATGTGGAAACTCCTTAACAGCGTCAATATTTGAAAGCTGCAAATCATTTAGTGTCAAAGTGGTATAGATATGGGCTTGGGTGAATGGATTACGTCCCAAGACACTTAAATGAGTCGTAATTTGGTCTTTTTGAAGAGGACTCGATTGCGTGCAAGTACTTTCAAGTAAATCTTTCTCTTGATTCTGCTGCATGCATTGATTATCTTGTCTTGAAATCTTTTCATCCGTCGACATGGCTTGAACGTAGCAGTTATGAGTTTTTAGAAAGATCTGGGATTTTAAATTTAGATACCGAGATTTAGAGCGGCTAAATGTCTGTTCATACGAAGAATTGTGTTTAAATTATTGTTATTCATATGATAAGCGAATATTTAAGTTATGAATCTGAAAAAGAATAAAACACTCAGCTATATTAGAAATTTATATGTCAAGAAATAAACTTCGTGAACTTCGTACAATTGTTAGCAATCAATGTGATCACAAGATGACAGTACTTGCCCCATTAAAACCCTTCCCCACTACACTGGGGCTCATAAGTTTTTTGTCTTTCAAAACACTGCGCAAAAGTAACCGTTTTAAGGGCAACCACTGCGCTTGGAGTTATACTCCGCTCTCTGCACTTTATTGTGCTTAGCCTTCTGAGCGGGGGGTTCGCTCTTATGCACAATTAAGTGGCATAATGAGCATTCGCTAAAAGAAAGATCTTTGCGACCGACGCATTAACTTTTTTTGCGATGATGGCGAGATGAGAGCTGTCCCAGTGCTTCAAGAGTCTAAAATCCGTGTAAATTTTCCATCAGCAGGAAGTCTTTCGACATTCCGCTGTGAATTCTCACAATTCCCAGCTCATTACCAGTAAATTGGGCCTGGCTGAAGTGGCCTAGTTTGCTTTGCAAGAGTAACGCACGTTCTTGCTCAAAACAGGATACGATCACAGATTAAACTGTGCAAATTTGCTTGTAGCACTGGTGCGGAGCCCCTCCACGCCCATGCGCATATGGATTCCGCTCACAACCAGAAGGAAACCAGCGTGAGAAATTTGTTCCACAAGAGTGATCTCGACCCGCAGTCATCCCTCCCTAGGAGTACCGTCAATGCTTCGAACAGCAGCGTTCAGTGGCGATGACTTTTAAGCTCACGTTGCGTACTGAGTAAGGAAAACACGCCGTCTATTCCGGCTGAAAGCCTTGTAAGCAAGCTTTAGCAAAGCGGACGCCCGCGTAGTATGAAGTCGCATGCTTCACTTCGCAAAGCTCGAAGCACGGTGCGGATATCGAAGTGACGAATTAGATAGAGTCTGAGCTGTTGACAGCCCGATTTGTCGCCATGAGACAGCTATAACAGCTCCGATTAAGATTTTTTTTCTTCATGAAGTCGATCGCCCCTTGATAACGGAGAACGCGCTGTAGCTAGAGCTTTCGAGAAAATGGACAACTCTTGCTGATCGGATAGTGTAGGCGGTTGAAACTCTGTGGCTGCACGGCGACTCTCTGAGAGTCTCAGCGTGTGTCGGAACTCATTTGGGATGCGCTGTTCCAGCGACGCGATCACACGGAGCACGAACGTTGATCAAAATGGTATTACTGCCTTAATGTAGAGGGTAGCTCAGATACAAGGGGGACAAAGACACTGGTTTATCACCAACACAGCGCTATGGCTCATGAGAGTAGAATGGTATGGCTTTTACCAGCCACGTAAAATATAGAATGCGATCGCATTCGTCTTGGGACACTGAGCATGTACCTTAGTTCACTTTTTCGTTGCGATCGTAAACAGTTCAATCAAACATAGCCACCCTTACGAATGGTGGACACTTAATTTGTAGGTCGGTTGACAATACCCAGTCACACTTTTCAACCATCTCTTGTTTATGTATTTCCCGACTCTATGTTAGAGACTGAGCAAGCGCCTCAACACTCTACAATAGATGTGCTTTCTTCTGTATTTGGTATCTGCATGTTGCTTTTGCGCATTGTAACCCTAAATCGAAGAGTCGCGCACTCGCTATATCGCGTTCGATCCCAGCGAGATGAAACCCTCGAAGTCTGCTTAACTTTTTGTCAAATTATGTTCTACTGTATAGTTTCCGTCAGATGATAGAAGGAGTGTAAGTTCAAGTGTGGCCAAGATCTTGAAAGGGGGCGTACCGGGATATGTACTTTGCTATTGTGTACTCAGACCGTAAAGTTTTGTTCAATTGTGCTGATGATGATATTGTAAAGCTGTACGAAAGTCACGAATTACTTTTGTCTGATTGAAAATTCTTGTGGGTTTAGAAGTATCGGTATTATTGAGAATGATGGGACTCTATACAGGAGATGTGAGTGGTACACGTGGGCTGCTAGTCGCACGTCAGTAACAAAGATAAGTGTCTGAAATGTGGTGAAGCGAATACCTTATGTATCGATTTAAATAAATGAATGATCAGAATATGTTTCTTTGAAAATTTGAGCGAACATAATAGCCGTTTCATTTAGAGGATGTTACTCTCAATCTTACATATCGCTTACGAACCGAACCCCTTTGCGTTGGTTGATACGGACTTTGAGTCGAAACTTTCTGTGGTTGAAGTGCACAGCAGCAGGAGCACACCTTTTTCTCCGCTTCCCACCGTACCGTTTTGGCGATACCAACGCCTCCCAGCTACTTTGTGAATTTGCCATTGGGCTCATTGATACCGCTTGATGAGATCTTTCACACGATATAGTAGAGGAAGACCTACAACCCCTCGACTACCAGGACACTAATTGTGGGATCACAACAGAAAAGTCATTTTTGCTGGATCCTCACTGTGAGCGCGTTACACCGTAGTGCTTACTCAGCAGGACTGCCACATTACGACAATACTAAGTTATTCTTAAAATCGAGGCTGTTTTACTTGCGAATAGAAGACGCCCGCCTTCCCTGTTTTGGCGCATGATACTGCAGCACACAACAACTTTCACTTTTAATCGCTCTAGTACAGACAACCCGCTGTGACTTAACGGCCATCAGCGATAGAGTCTATGTATAACGACATACCGTGGTCATCATAGTCTCAGAATAGCTAAACCCTAATACAACGAAATAAGAAATCTACTCTCTGTTTTTTAAGACTGCTGCTCACTAGCTCATCTGCATTCCGAGGATTGCTCAAGGCTCTTGTAAACATCGTTGTTATGATAAGGGACGATTGCATATCTTGCTTCAATGTTATCGCTGAGTATTTCCGCGCCAAATACGCTTCTGCTTATTGACAGAAATGTATTTCTCAAGTACCAAAACCCTCTTAGAGTAGAGTGCGACACACAATTTTATCGATACCAGCCGACGAATAAATTTTGGCGTTCAGGCCACGCCTTGTAGGATGGAATCGTACCCTAAATCCAGGTTTATTACCAGACAGCGTCACACGCTGTCAGAAACCTTAAGCTTCACATGAAGGCTCAGTGGAGCTCTCAGCACTTACGAACATTCCTGTCACAGGACGTACAAATATCGAGTTTCACTTCAGCATCTTAAAGGTTTTTGTGTACTGTTTACTGCTTTCAAAACGCCCGCATCGTAAGTAAATGTACAATTTTGTTCTAGATATAAAAAAACTTTTCTCGGCTTTGGAACACTAATATTAACAATCAACAACCCTGGACAGTGAGCCCAATTACTCATAGTGAAATTGGTGTGTCGAAGGCAAGAATCGTGGACCTTGACTTTCACTTGGTATCAATGTCTTAGGTAGGCAGCCATGCGCTTCCTATCTATCCATGTTTGTTGACGAGAATTTTGTCCGACGACCCTGAGCAAGATATTGACCCTTTCTACCTATCAGCTAAAAAAATGGCAGCATTCAAAAGGCTAATTTTTAATATGTTGCCAGATGTTATATTTACGAAGACCACAATGCTGCCTAGTAGTAAAGAGATCTTTCTAGCATGACTGATATACTGCCCTGGGTAAGGCTCTGCAACCATCGCGCGACGATGGCTCTCAACCCTCCGATATAGTTTGCTAGTTCTCAATTTCTTTTGAAAGTATGAAAGTCCACGACACGCCCGGATTAGCTGTGCAAACGCCCGACACCTGTCGTTTCGACCCTTCCCAAAATATAAACGACTCTATTCCAGAAAACGTGCACGTCCTTTTGGGCATGACCAAACATATAGCATTGCCGGCTATTCTTTTCCATAAAGAGGAAGGCTTTGTCTCAGATTTGAAGGGCAAAAGCAAAACATCAGCAATCTCGCCGTAAGAACCGGTCCCGCTCACACTATAGGCTTTCTATGGCCTCCCCAGCGGTCTCACCTGCGCACACGTGTCGGTCAAAGCATCTCTAAATGCTTCATTTCGGCTTCAGGTTCTCTGAATGCAAAAGCTAAGCCATCGCGTGACCAATTAGAGAAGGGGTTTACAGCTTATGTCTATCAGCCCGTAAATACCTATAACGTGTAGACCTCCCGCACACACTTAAAGAAGTTATCGTGAGAAAGTCGCTTCGTAAGCACTTTTTCAGCCTGCAGGCCATCACTCCACAGAAGTACCAGATGATCTTGGAGCAGCAGCGGTTAGAATTGTTGCATTCTCCATACGTAATGGACAGACGCTGGCAAACGTGCTGATGAGGATCGAAATCAGTTAGCACACTGGGTAAGAAAAATACGCCGTCTTCCCCGTTTAAGAATCTACAAGTCAGCTTCAGCAAAGCGGGAGACCGCCATAGATGCCGTCTGATAGTGGATTCAGTAAAGCACGACGCGAATGTCGCGGTGACAGCCTGTCATCACAAGCTCTGGCTGTTTACAGCCTCGATTGTTAATTTAAGACGGTTGCATGTACTACCGACTAAAAGGATTTATCACCGCAAATTTGATTGTCATCTACTAGTAGAAAATGCGCTGCGATGGATGGCTCTAATTTTTCTATAAGTGAGGCAAAAGCATAGAGTGCCAAGTCATAAGTAGCCACGACATTAGCACTATCTTGCCGAAGCGAAACCCCAAACAAAAGCGAGATCTAAGAAATATTTCCACTTTACCCGGTCTAGTGTATCCGCCGGTCCACTAAGTGCTCCACGTGATAGTGGGCCACCCCACTTCATCGAGCAGCTCCGGCGGAGGTTCACCTTGGATAATTTGAGCTCTTTTAGATGTAGTACCCACGTCGACTCTCTCTAAGAGTCACAGCTTGCATCGGAGGTAGTCAGATCTCAGGTTTGCTATTTACGCTCCGATATCTCACTACCTACCACAGTGGTTTAGAACCGCGTCGCTGTCTCGTCGCAGAGACAAAATCCGCAACTGGGTATGGTTGAAACGTTCATTCGTCGACAACAGAGCTCTTCACATCCGACTAGCTTGCCAGAGTGGGATCGAGTTACGGCCTCAGTAAGGCCACATGAATACTGTATGTGTTTGCACTCACTTTGAAATGTTCAAAATATACCTCAATCTCTCTATCGCTAAGACCTCATGGCGTTATAGTGAGAGCTCTATGAGCACTGTACTATATTATGGTGTACGTACACATTTAACTATTGTGCAATATTCAGAAGATCCTATGTACAAACAAGGACAGTAAGGCTACAGGGTAGCTCCGCCAGTACGGGGTCTGGCAATGAATAATCATTTATCATTTGATTTTAATATTATATTTGAGAAATAATGTTAGTCCGATTCATATTCCGAAAGCCAAAAGGAATATAACGGGGTTTGTGATTGGGTTCATACTGCGACCTTGTGCAGTTATTTCTTACACATTTAGTACGAGCGGACTGGATGCCATAGTGTACAGCTGTACAAATTTTACATCGCAAATTGGTAGAAAAATTGAAGAACCAATTTCTATGGACGATAAAACTTTGAAAGCGGAGGGGTTCGTGTGTGTTAGTCACCTCTTGTCGGAAGATAAGGACAGACTTTGTGTTAGTCTAAGAAGCAACGCTTCGAAAATTATGTACTATTTAAAAAGCAAAGCTCAGTGAAGCCTGGGATAAATTCAAGGCTCTCGCTCTTGCTCCTAGTAGTTGCGCATAATATCAGTCTGTGTACGATATGTTTCGCCGACTGTTAGTGTCAATGATTTCTCGGTGCAGATGCACGGTAAATCAGCTACGTACTACTCGATTGCACATGTATTCAATTCCATGACAGCGTCTTCAAATAATGTTTCTGCTGCAAGGATGGGCATGATGTGTTGACTCCAGGTCAACAAACCAGCTTTATACGCTTATATTTACCTTAACAGCCGTTGAATTAGGGAACTAGTGGCCAAAGGAGCGGAAGCGGTACTTGCACACTTGAAAGAGTAAATCACTTCTGGTTATGCGCTGGTCGGGCGCATCTCCAAGCGGCTTAAGCGTAGGCAGTAACGGCGCGCTATGATGCCGATGTTGTCTATCGATCGGAAGGGGAACAGAGAAAGCTCACACTCTAGACAAAAATTAAAATGAACAAAAATTGGACCATAACCCGAACGAAGCAATAATGTGTCGCGCTTGCTGTCTCTATGTTAGGAGGCTGCGCGCAAGAAGGGGCAAATCACACAGTTCCTTGGTGAGTGATGAGCTCTGAACATGAGAGTCTTTGATGCGACTGATATCGCAGATATTTGGGGGCCTAACTAGGCTTTTCTGCTGCATTCGAAGTTTCTGTACGTGTCGAGAGGGGTGACACTTAGTGGGTTATGTCCAGGTAGAATCGCTCTTATTGCTAAAAAAAATATCAGAGCCTGGTCTTGAGGCGACGACAGCTGCCATCTTCGTGGAAAATTTCCGAACAGGGCGACCCCCGCCGAAAGTCAGCGAAAGTGATAAGCGTCAAAATAATGAATTGTACAACTTTCGTGTCGTGAGAAGTAGATAGGGTGCTGGAAGTTAGCTTTTTATTCGCGCGCCAGATGCAATGCAGATCCCAGTCATGCTAGGGAGAAAGCGAGAGCTTCTTGCGTATTCGTTCAGCGTTGCGATACTCGCGGATGTCAAAACCATGATAACTTGAGACGCTTGCGCCTAGCGTGCTCACTCTTTCTCGGTTAAGTGGTGTGAGAAGCGGACTCATACGCAGGGGCAAACGACAAAACTCTAATGGGGAGACTTATGTTGGCGCAGAGCGTCTTGCTGGCTGGATTTTATTGTGTAATTGTACCTTGTGTGGGTTTTGGTCAATGGAACCCTGCCCTGAACGAACACTCTTCAGTTGAAGTGACGATCAAATCATAAATTGTAGGCGATTAACATAAACGTTTCGGGCATCAAATGCCGTCAAGAGCCTAAATTGACTCACTAAAGTCATACAATTACGTACGAGGCGCGACAGTAAATAAATGACAACACGCGATGATATTGAAGATGCTATTTACTACAGCAATATTTATATGCCTTGCGACTAGGACAAGTCAAAGTTATGTTGAACATATTGACGAGGTCAGAGGCTTTTGACGGCTTGTAATGTTGCATTGTTCTGGTCTTAAATTCGAGAAATTTAAGTATAGTGATGCTGTAACGCCACAAGGCATACTGCGGTTGGAAGTTTATGAAAGTAGGTGTCGCGCACTTATGTCCTGTTTGAGACGTGGCGAGTCATGATCTCACCTCTACCGATGAAAGGCGCTGTGTGATAGATTCCGCACAGTGTCTGAAATCGACGATAATATTGCGAGGCGCCTTGAGCAGAGCTTGAGGGGCAAAATCAAGAGTGAGTCGCAATCTTCGCTCATGACAGTAAAAAAGGCCATAATTCGCAGTCTCCTGAGAGTGATCTGCTGTGATTAAATCCTACTGAACGACTTTATGTTGCGTTCTCAATGATTTATCTTTGGTAAGCATAGAAAATTGATAATTCTTTTAGGGCCAGGGTGCCGCAGTCTTCAGCGCCAGAGCCGGTTTGGTCGATGCGCGACTGCAAGTAGCGAGTAGAAGGGCCATGCCCTAAAAATAAAGGATGGCTCACTTTTATACGATGTAACGTAAATGCTGAGCCAATTAACCGATCTATATGCCTCGCAGAATCTTCGTGTGAGCTCAGCCTGCCTCTGGAATCGGAGGCAGCTTCCGGAAATTTGAATGGCGCAGCACAAGTTGCGTCTCACCCATACGCTGTATACATCGCCGCATCTCGTTGACGTCACCATCATCACATGCGACAAATCATAATTAGGGCGACGTGAAGGGACGAAATAACCCTACCAACATATACCGTGTATCTAGTCGATAAGAATATGTTGCGATCGTGCTATTTGGATGATCACGGTTGTTTTATAGAAGGTGATGGGTTTAAGCTAGCTCCGATACTCAAACTCTGTAGTGATTCAGCTCTTACGATCTGGTCGGATGTGTAGTGATTTGATGTAAACAGAGCAGCGTCTGGACCACTTTCTGTAGCTGAAAAATATATTCTGCTCCAATGCGGCGACGTGGTCATGGCTGCTACAAGTACGCAGTGTGATCAATGAGCCCATTCGTGATCTGATCCATCATGGTTTATAGCGTGACTTGCGAAGAGAATGACGGCGTCTTCATAACCGATATTCACTTCACAATTATCGAGTACCCTAAGCCACTTAGGTTTATCCTCGTACTATATCGTGTACAAACGTATCCCTAATCTGTACCAAATGATAATCATGACAATGTATCGTGGTAATGCCATTGCGTCCAGGCAGCGAACAAGACCGTTTTTCGATCTTTTTAATTTGCACGCACTTCCAATCACGAATATTTTTTGTATCTACGACGTTTAGCATCAAGCTATAATCTATTGTGGGCTACGCTGTGGCTTAGCACCACCGATTAAGTTAGAACTGCTTCAAAACATTACGTTGAGATGTCACAAAATTTTAACGGAACCTTTTTGCAAACTCCTATCGTCTTAAGACTGCGACTGACGCTATTCGCCTCCTAACGCTCTTGACTTGCTGCTTTTGCTCTGTTAGAAGACCGGCTTACAGCATACGCTGCGCGATCGAATCTCCGGGCCATAGGACGACGTGATTGCGCACACGATGACGCGTCATGATTGCGCGCAGGATAACGCCATAGGAAGGGCTTAGAGGTAGTTCGGAGTAGCGAACTAAGGACCTCAATATACTGACCTCATCGTATTTAACATGCTCCTGCGTGACTGATTCCATACTGGAGAAATTAAACAACCTACATTTTATTAAATGGTGCATTCGTTGCTTTGTCACTCAAATATACTTTTATCATTGCTAAATTAGCGTGCTAAGACGATTGGCATCTCCATCCCGTGCGCGATTGTTTTTGACTTGAGCGTCTCCAGACGTCGGACAACAAGTGCCTGGAACAACGCCATGTAATACTCATGAGTCAAATATAATTTCAATGTTGCTCGGCATTTTCAGTGCGACTGACAAATTATACTGTGCTAAAATCATTGGTCTTGTACTTGTGATTATTACGAAATCCAATGGTGTTTGTACTTAATTATATTGATCATTGTTTGTACGAAATTCATGTTGATTAAGGTCCAACAGAACTCATTAAACTCAGTTGCTTGCTACGATTACGCGGCAGGCTTATAGCTTGTTCATCGAAGCTATGTCTACAGACTGAACATAGTCTTCAAAGCTTTCAATAGCTTCCGTAATGTCGTCAAGAAGCACAAGATCGTCCACAATAACGCACTGCACCAGCAACTTTTTAATTCCAAAAGCCACAGGTACTAATTTGTGGCCTTCACCCCACGTCAAACCTTCAATCGGTACAGCTTTAATCTTCGTGGCCAATTCCTCAAGATCGGTCTCAGCCTCCCACGGTTTCACTTCAATGACCACTTGCGACCGCTCAATGGGTTTCTTCTTCTCCTTCTTCGCCGCCTTGGCTGCCTCAGCACGCTTAGCAGCTAAAGCTTTCGCAGCCTCGTCATCTTCCTCTTCATCATCATCACCAAACAGATCATCGTCATCATCTTCAGCCTTAGCAGGTGTAGACTTCTTCGAAGCCTCCTGTTTTTTCTTAGCTGGAGCTGCTTTCTTCACAGGAGCCGTCTTTTTTGGAGCTGCCGTCTTTGCACCCGCGATAGGTTTCATAGGCTTCGCACCTTTAATAGGGTGCAACACCGAATACTTGGCGGTCTGCACTAGCTGAAACTTGCTCATATCGGTCGGCATGGTAGAATCTTAAAGATAAAGAGACAAATATTTCTACTGATGAACGGATCAGACGTAGCCATTCATTTTCACTGTAATATTTGCAAAAATCAGACAATAATGCAATATTTACAATAAAGAATTAGTTTATTAGTTCATTATGGAGCTCCAGCGAGTGATTGAGGCATATCGCGCGATGGAGCCTGTGCGAGATGTAATTGCACTGATCAAGACAAAATTTGCAGTAAATAAACGCTGGGCATCATTAGATTTCCAAGTAAGTTCAGCTCATTTTTATGATGATAGCAGCTAAAAATCAATATCTATTTTGTTACAGGCTCAGATAGTCGAATTGGTCATTAAAGACGCTGTATGCGAGGACTTTTCACCACTTCGAAGATATACATACTCCTTTTTAAAGAAATTTGTTGATGGTACGATCGCATGAAACTCATTTTGTATAGATCATGTCGATGTTCACGACGTCATAAGTTTTTATGGCTACTTCACAGAAATTGAATCTGTGAACGGAAGTTTAGACGATGAACTTGTTGAGACACTGATGAATTATGTACTGAGTGTTAAAGTGAGTGAGGATACACTGAATGCTGAAGCCATGCACTACGTTTCATACACAATACCAAAGACTGAAGCGTCTATTATCGTGACATGTCGAGTGGCTTCAGTAATGAATGACGTGGGACTTAAGATTTGGGAAGCTGGATGGCTACTCGCTGAGTATATTATTGCTCATAAAAGCGAGTTTAAAGATCGTAAGGTACTCGAATTAGGATCTGGAGTAGGATTTACGGGAATGGTGCTAGCATGCGTCTGCCATGCTCGTCATATCGTACTCACAGATTATGCGCCCAGTGTAATGCAAAATCTGCGTTACAATGTCGAATTAAACATGAGCAAATTCATTTGTCCAATTCAAGTGCAGATGTTAGAATGGGAATCGTGGCACCCTCAAGAGGCTGATGATGAAAAGCCTGATATTCTATTGGCAGGAGACTGTGTCTATGATATCGCCGCTTTTCCACATTTAATGCGTGTCCTCCAACTTTTTTTTGGCAATGATGAAGGAGTTCAAACGAGTAATACGCAGCGTATGGCCATCTTTGCTGCCACTATTCGAAACCAGAAAACATTTCAAGAGTTTCTAAACCAACTCGCAGCTCATTATATTGAATATGTCGATATTACAGCGTCATCACTGGTAAAAATGGGAACACCATTGTTTCCGTATCCCATTCGGGACCAGATTCGTCTTTGCCGCCTTTCAAGGGCTTCTGTAAGGAATTGAGATTCATATCTCTTGAGTTTGGATGTCATTCGTTATTCTGAGGCTTCATGTACGTGCATTGAGAGGCTTTCTGGGCATATGGCAATTGGTTTTCATCTACAACAACGTGAGAAAGCAGATAATGGGAAATAATCTGACAAGAGCGGCAGATCGCTATGAAACATCAATGTTCTTCAGATAACTTTTCTTGCAATGTATTAACTATGATTATTATCAATTCATGTTAACATCTGAGGTAGTACTAGGTGCATTTTCCATATCGTCTTTGGGTCACATTGAGGTCATCTTGATTTTGAAGAAGAAGAGACAAACAAGAAACGATACCATCCCAATAACTCCTCCTAAGAAAACGGGCAGGCGGTAACCCAAAGACGTTTCTACCAATGCCGAGCCAGCAATGAAGTTCAGTAGTAGACCGGATGCGTTTGCAGAGCTGATGACGCCTACATAGACACCAATGTCGGCAGTAATTCCAAATATCTGCACAATGATCGGCACTGCCAGCGCAAAGAATGTGCTGACTGTGATGGACGTGAGTGCTAATACTACTACGCTCAGTTCTACGACGTCGTTGAATGCAACAAAAATCAAGAAGATCAGGGGAATAGTTGCAAGTGTCACCATGCGTTGAGCTCCAAAGCGATGGATGAGAGGAGGAAGTACCCACGAGTACATATATCCGACGATAGAATAAAGGAGGTCGATAAGACCTCCAGCGAGTTGTACACCACGATTGTAGTCAAGCTGTTGTTTTGAGCACTCGTCACCACACGTTGCAGCATTCGTGGCATCTCCTTTAAAAACTTCGATGCCGAAAAACATGCCTTTGTTGCTATTGTAAGATGCGAAAGCATACTGATTCAAGAACATCACGAAGCAAAATATCATCAATACTTTTGGAAGCGTGAAGACAGCTGAGTAGATGGAGCTGAATGCATGCATGACATTTCCACAGCAACTTCGCTTTTCCATATCTTGCTTCTTCCGTGGAATTTCGTTCGCTACGTAGCATGCAGCACCGATGCAAACTGCCAAGAAAGTCGCCAACATTCCAAAAAACAATGCATTGAGTTATAGGCTGGACCAAAAGCTTCCGTGTACAAGGCCACAATGATTGCACCCAAAGTTGCCCATCCTTGACCAAGGGCAGCACCGAGAGTTTGTCGCTTGCCAGCAAAGTCTGAAATAAGCAATACAGCTGGAATTTGTGCAAGGCTGACCGTGATGTCGGTACAAAGGTAGAAAAAGACAGTGAGCACAGCAGTCCATGTGCGATCTGTCACTTCGCCAGGTTTTCCAGTCCCAACGTCGCCTAGCGCATTGCCTAACTCATGTGTGTAACTCATCAAAATCCAACAGAGAACGCCTGCGATCGCTGATAAAACAAGGAATGGTCGACGACGTCCAAATTTACAGGTACTACGGTCAGAAAACACACCGATGATCGGAGCCAGAAAGATACCACACAATGGTCCGCTGAGTTGTGTCAGTTGCACAGCATAAGGAGGGAGCATCGTTCGTAAATAAGGTCCAAGAGCTGCCCAACGCGCTGCCCACGACATTCGTATTGCCAAACGAGGCATTGAAATGATGAGAAGTTTCCAAGCTGGAATTTCTGGAATCGACTGTTTTTCTTCATTCACAGGAGATACTACAATGAGAGTCGGCGTTTCGGGTGTATCAAGCGAAGCAAAACTTGCGCCGGACATCTTGATGTCAATGTCTTGAAATTGCTTGAAGTTCATTAGTGTGTGCTTGAGTCTGTAAAATGAAGAATGAAATTCACTTGTATCAAAGTTGAAAGTGTTCACTATAATGATCCGGTAGAGAGTTGATTTGTTGGATTAGCACCTCAATAACATCAAACAATCACCAAGTGGTGCACTATCGATAAGTCATTCATTTAAGAAATCGCATTCAAGCTCAAGCCTGAAGATGGTAAAGATTGAATCAATGCAGATGTTATAGCGATTCAATGGATGTCCTTATCCTTCACTTGCAATTGAATACTGTACCGCTTGCCGTATGGAAAACTTTTGTTGGGTGAAGCCATATATTGTCAAGACAACTGTTGATTTATTTTGGACGGACTTGGCCATACGAAGTTTGTAATGACGCCATCGGTTCTAGACATGTTGGATAAGATTTAGGATATCTGAGACTTTTGGGATGTTGTCCAGATGGATTTCGGGTTGTGTATTGTTTAAAAGCTTTATGTCTTTATTTGACAATCAGCCTGCCGTTTTTACATTCTTGGTATAAATTTTCACTATCGTCATTTGTCGAATGAATTCATTTTGATAACATTTTGCTGTCTATTCTATGGGCAGAGCAAATTTCTGTGCGATAATCAGAATTTAAACTTAGAAGTCCATTTGTTTATGTTGGCTATAATTGAAGTCACCATCTCGACCCCCAAACATAGGCTTGTTCGAGAGATTGCCAATACGTGGCATGCATTTCGGCTCACAGCAACCCATCAAATTGTAATTTAAAGTCTATAATATATCAGTCTAAAAAGAGCTTGCGATCACGACGAGCGGTTTAATAGAGCGAGTACCGTACTTCACAAAATAAAAGCCACTCAAAAAGATCACTTTTTTCTGATTTTCCTTCACCTCTTAACATTAAGGTGATTTTTGTTTAACAAAAAAAA